ATATATATATATATATATACACACACACACTTTGCTCTTTATATACCAGGGCTATTTAACTGGCGCCCCATGGGCTGGAAGTGCCAGCCCATAAAACAATAAATAAATCAGGGGTTTTGGGTTGGGGTTTTGGTTTCTGTTAATTGCATTTATAATCCATTTTAATAAAACAAATTTAAAAAGTAAAACTTGGTTTATTTACATAGTGATTTTAATTGCTGGATGTCCAGCCCCTGAGCTGCTGGCTTTCAGAAACTGTGCCCCCTGAGTGGTTTAGTTGAATGTTATAAACTTTTTAAGCTTTGAGGACTTAAATTACTTTAATTTCCTCAGAGCTCAGCAGCTGAGTATAGGAGCCAGACTTCCAGACTGCTGAGTTAAAGGAGCCGAAATATTTATAAAGCTGCAAAAATTGCATCCTTTCCCAGTAATGACATCAAACTAACCACCATCCTAACTAAAAGGTCTGAAAGCTTAGTAAACATTATGCAGGAGCCAAATCTCCATCAAATGTCTACTTTTGTAATTGACTTCCATTTGTCCCATAGTTGCACTTGTTTCTTATTTTATTATTCATTTCATCTTCCTGACAAACTTTTGTTAAATGTACACATTACAACGTTTTCTATAACTCACTTAAAACAAAATCAGAAAGAGAACACGATTTCATAAAAGCCGTATTTAGAAGAAGAAGAAAAATGCTTCACTCTAGACTGTTGTATGCATCCAGGCACTCCGGTTTGACGTTGTGAACTACAAAAAAAAAAAGAAGAAGAAGACAGACAGACTGATCAGAAATTAGCATTTTTATTTTAAAGCACAAAACCAAAACCTTCAACAAAGTAATTTCACACCCCAGTTCAGCAAATTCACACAAAACCGATTCACTTGCACAAAGGTTGTAGGCTATGGCTGATAGAATGCTCCAAATTGAAATCTCTGCATGGTGTGATGTACACCGCAGAAAAGATCAAAGTGTGTGCAGAAAGGTAAACTTCTTCAGAGGCGGTTATCACATCAGACTCAAATGAAAACCACACGACTTGTTCTGATGTCAGAAAATGTTAGAGTTCATAATGTTGGCTTGCTTGCAATGCATGTGTAATGAAACGTAGTTTTCTCTAAGGTCACTACGGTCAGTGCAGACTGGATTTAATGAACCTGATTCATTTTGCTGCCTTATGTTGGAATAAAAAAATAAACTGCTGAGACAAAACAGAAATCCTTTATATTAAAATAAATCGTATGTTTCACCCTCTGTGACTAAAGACAATGAATCTTTATTTGTAGTAAAAACTCACACTGGATTTTATACAGGTTGCTGGTCTCCTTCTTTGACAGCAGGTTGGAGTGAGCGTCCTTCCTGTTATCGACTCTGTGCGCAAGTAAGGACTGGAACCAGCCTTTGTCGCTGCTTTCTGAGAACCTCCTACACAGAGACCAGATGAACGACAGAAACGACAGCTCAAACCAAATCCATTAACCAGAGAAGCTGTCGATACATGGAAGGAAATCTTTAAAAATAATGGGGAGATGTGGATGATTTAATGGGGCTAAAAGACATTTATAATATCTTTTGATATGAGTGAGTGGGATGAGAGCATCAGTGAGGGACTTCACCATTAAACCCACCCTGGAGCAGATATTAAGCAAATATCTTTCACTTCAAGAGAAGCAGTACAAATCTCTGAGACTTCAGTTGGATTTTGTACATTAGCAGCTCAAATGGTCTCACAGAAAACAAAGATTTCCATCCAACATGTTTAAGTTGCCAGTCATCAAACCGACCGAAGAAGTCCGTCGGATGACGGACGAAGCATCTCGGCACAAAAAAGAAACTGTCCAGATGACCTGATTGAACATTTAGATGTTTAAGTTGTATTTTTTTAGGGGAAATTTGACTTTTTAATGATAATAGCAATCCTTAAATAACTACATATTGATGGCTGCCTTTCATGACCGTTTTAAACATGATCTTATTTTGATAAATGAAATATTTTGTGGCTGTTTTGGTCAAACCTCGAAAATAACAATATGCACAATCTCATGCAATGTCTTGCATAGACATGGATTATTATTATTATTGTTATTATGAATTAAGCTTGAAGTATGGGTTGCAAATGACTGTCAACCAATACCATGCCGAATTTTAGCTCGGTATTTGTAATATTCACTGATGTTTAGTCATGTTGGTGTAGGCTAAGGTCCATTAGCTGTGAACTCCAAAAGTTAATCGGTTATAGAGCCAGTGATTAGTTTTTAAAGAGTTTCATTAAAATCCAACCAGTGGTTCATGGGATTTTTTTCCCAACAGATAAATGAACACACACATTATTGCTGCTTTACATTCAATGGCGGGTGAAAATGGCACATGCAAATGCCAAGTATTGCAAAATACACACAAGAAATGCTGATGTTAAATTAAACTGTTAGCGGTTTGATTAAAAACAGACATGCTGTACAAAGGCAAAACACTAAAATGAAAGCTGAATAAAGTCAGAAGGATTGTTGTAACAGATGTTGCATCTCACAAAGTCGAAGAGTTTGCATGTAATATGGAAGAGCGCTGCCACACTCGGCCAGACATCTGATTCTGTTACTTTAGTTGCTTTTTATAAACTCTGATTTTTAAATCCCCCGAAAGCTGCTTCAATTAACCTCAATTTCAGGATTTTGCACAAAATGTTAAATGCTTTATCCCCCATTTTTATAGATTAGGAAGCGTCAGTGTCCTAATCTGTACTTTGAAAGCCATCTGTTAGTTCGCAAACACTTTTATAGGCTTTATGCGTTCGAAAAATCCTCAAACCGTCAAGGTCAGTGAAACTTTCCTTATTTATAATAACATCATGGGCCACTGGCTTTAATGAGAAACTGTGATCAATCATGAATTTCCCACGGCACTTTGTAAAAAAAAAAGCATGTATAATAAGTCAAAACTTGTTTCAGAGTAATGTTGGAGTGAGGTATAGAGGGAACTCGGTGCAGCCAGAGGTCCTAAATGTTGTGTAAATGTTACAGTACAAGGTTCAGAGGTCTGGCAAATGATTAAAGCAGGCTTGCTTTTTACCGACTCTCTTACATAAGACTTAAGTGAAATTCTTTTTAACGCAACACACACATAATGAAGAATTTAGAAATAAATAGTCAAAATTGTGGTATTGAAATGAGGTATTATACACAATGCTGCTGAAAAGACCCTAAAGCCTAATATTCTCTGATTTGACGTTTTATTGAATGCTGAACAAACACCTCATTAACTGCTATGAACTGTGATATTAAGTAACATTTATCTCCTATTTCCCTCCTCAAGATGAAGTTTGACACACAATCCTGCTGATATCAATGATATCAATCGATCAATCTAAACGGCTTCCTTCTCAGTCATTGTTTTATAACTAATCTAATCTAATCTCATATTTACCTGGAGGTTTGGTGCAGGTAGACAGAAGACATGGACAGAACGTGTTCCAAACTCCTCACAGAACTTGTTGCCATGTTCTTCTGTAAAGTAAAGTGGTTGTTTGACACGCAGACATTACTTGCTAGTTAATGTTTACTCCCTCCCCCCACCTCCTTCTGTGATGTAATTTGACAGGTAATCATATGGTCAAACCCATGAGAGTTTGAAAAACACGTGATCTGAGTGCCAACGTGCAGAATAGATCATGTTTGAGTGACTGATTGCTCCCGCCACTGATTGCCTGGCACAGTGTGTAAAATGAACATGAAGTAAATGATTTACTAGAACCATCATTCATCAGGACTGGGCTGTTCTATTTTATGTATGGCAGAAGTGACATACAGAATTATTTTTATTTGATCATTCAGTAAACAAGTCCTAAAACATAATCAGTTTTTTTTTTTTTTTGTTTGTTTTTTGCCACAAAGAGTTAAAACCAGTTTAATTTATCAAGGAATGTTTTTTAAATGCACATTTTTGTAAGGGAAATAATCTGGGTCAGTCATGTGATTGTGAACCTTTGCTTTTCAGGAACTGCTGTGACCCTGATGTGAAGTAAATTGTGCAACAAATGTACTGATCAGTAGTGCAGTGTTGTTTCCCTGAGAGAGAGAGAAATAGAGAGGCATCTTCAACTCTGAGAACTTCAAGGATACTTCCTTCACATTTTAGCTGCTTCTGTCACATAAACAATTTAAAATCTGCAAGCCATACCCTTTAAATCTCTCTACAGCTCTGCTTTTAGATGAGCCACTCCTGAGGGGTTGCAAATACATTCTGATTTCTTTATATATTTTCATTGTACTGTACACTAATCCAGGCTAAACAATACACTGGGTCATATCCATCCATCCATTATCTTCCAATTGTTCCAAAGTCGGGTCATGGGGGCAAGAGCTTGAGTAGGGAGGCCCAGACATCTCTTTCCACAGCCACATCTTCCAGCTCTTCAAGGAGGATTCCAAGGTGTTCCCAGGCCAACCGAAACACATAGTCTCTCCAGTGTGTCCTGGGTCTTCCCCGGGTCTCCTACCCGTTGGACATTCCCTGGGCACCTCCCCAAGAAGGTGCCCTAGAGGCCTGAACCACCTCAACTGGCTCCTCTTGATATGATTCTACTCAGTCTCTCCCAGATAACTGAACTTCTCACCCTATTTCTAAGGAAGCGTCCAGCTACTTTGCAGAGGAAACTCAACTTCAACCACCAGTATACTTTACATGATCTCATTCTTTTTGTAACTACTTAAGAGTTTGTGGCTATAGATGAGGGTAGATACATAGACCGACTGGTAAACGGAGAGCTTCGCCTTACAGCTCAGTTCCCTTTCACCACAATGGTAAGTAAAAATCCACACGAGAGTAATCCTCTCTTTTCTGACTGAGGACCATTGACCAGATTTGGAGGTTCTGATTCTCATCCAAGCCGCTTCACACTCTGCTGCAAACTGCTTCACTGAGAGCTGAAGATCACTGCATGATGACACTAACAGGACCACATCATTTGCATATAGCAGAGATGGAATCTTGAGGCCACCGACCCAGACTTTCTCCGTCCCCTGGCTGCACCAAGAAATTCTGCTCATAAGTTATGAACAGAATCTGTGACAACGGGCGGCCTTGGTGGAGTTCAACTTCCACTCTAAAGTGATCTGACTTCCTACCAGCAATGTGAACCAAACTATCGCACTGCTTGTAAAAGGTCCAAACATCCCATAGCAACAAGTTCCCAATCCCATACAGAGCACCCCACACAGTGTACCTATAGGAACACGGTCAAACGCCTTCTCCAAGTCCACAAAACACATGTAGACTGGATGGGCAATCTCTCATTACCCCTCGAGGACCCTAGTGAGGGTAAAGAGCTCGCCCAATGCTCCAATGCCAGGATGGAACTCTTATTGTTTCCCCTGGATCTGAAGTTCAACCAACGATTGCACTTGCTTCTTCTGTACTCCTGAATAGACTTTACTAGGGAGGCTAAGGAGAGTGATGCCCTTATAATTTGAGCACACCCTTCAGTCTCCTTTTTTGAAGAGGGGAACCACCATCCCAGTCTGCCAGTCCAGTGGTGCAATCAGATGACCCAACTACAGAGTCAGTCATCGATCTAAAGGTGTCCTGGTGCCAAGTGCGCTTATGGACACCCTTGTGTTCAAACATGGTATTTGTTATGGACAAACCATGACTAGCACAGAAGTCCAATAACAGGACACCACTCAGGTTCAGATCAGAGAGGCCTCCCAATAACACCCCTCCAGGCCACACTGTCAGTACTCATGTGGGCATTGAAGTCTCCTAGCAGAATAAAGGAGTCCCCAGCTCGTGCACCTTCTAGCACCCCCTACCAACGACTCTAAGAAGGCTGGAAACTCTGAACTGCCATTTGGCACATAGGCAAAACAACAGTCGGAGCTCGTCCCCCCACTTGAAAGTGCAGGGAAGCTACCCTCTCATCTACCGGGGAAAACTCCAACATACAGAAATCAAATCAGGTGGCTAAAAGTAGACCCACACCAGTTTGGCACCTCTCGTCATGGGCAACTCCAGAGCGGAATAAGGTCCAGCATCTCTCAAGAAGTTTAGTTCCAGAGCCCATGCTGTGCATAGAGGTGAGCCCAACTATATCTAGTCGGTACCTCTCAACCTCATTCACAAGCTCAGGCTCCTTTCACACCAGAGTGGTTACGTTCCATATCCCAAGAGCCAGATTTGGTAAGCCAGGGTCAGAGCGCCAAGGCCCCTGCCTTCGCCCGCTGTCCATGGAGTCATGCTCCTGGCTAGTATGGCCCCTCCTGCAGGTGGACTCACAGAAAGGCAAACCCATGTTGCTCATTTAGGCTGAGCCCAACTGGGACCCATGGGTAGAAACCTGGTCACCAGGCACATGCTGATGAGCCCCTCCCCCTAGCCTGGCTCCAAGGTGGAACCCTGGTAATCCATGTCAGGTCAAGGTACACTGAGCTCCTTCCTGTTTTATTTCCATATGAGTCTTTGCAACCACTCTTTGTCTGGCCTGTCACCTAAGAACAATTTTTACCTTGGGATACCCTACCAGGGGCATACAGTAGCTCCTAGCATCATTCAGGCACACAAAGTCCTTTATCACGATAAGATGGTGATACAAGGGTCATACTTTTCTAGTTTATGTATGACAATCATTTAAATAATTAATAAAACCAATCAATTACAAAATTATATTTTGTGTTTTTCACCAATAGTAATTTTTTGTCTCTTTGGTTTTCTTTTTCTTGCTTCTGTTAAAAACACATTCATTCAAATAAACTGGATAAGTCAGTCACAAGAAAAGTAATTTTAATTGTCACACCTATTGAATTTATTTCCTTTTTTTTTATTTTTGAAAAGGCAACCTTGAACCACATACATCCAAAGTGACATCTTACTGTACCTAACACAGTTAGGGTCGTCTTGCTGCAGTGAGCAGGATTGTTATCTAACTGCCGACTGTTCTTTCACAGCTGGTTTTTCTGTTCAACTAGTCACGCAACACTTAAATTATTTTGTGCAGCCCACTTTGACTTCTTTTCATACACAATGCAGTGCTCTCAGCTGCTCTTCACCATTCTACCCACGGATTCATATAACATCAAATCTTATCATATCGAAAAAGAATCACATTCGGTACATGAACTGAGTGCCCATTTTTACTGACTTATTTGACAATTCTCTTCAGGCGATGTCGAAGTGTCTTTTTTGTAAATAAACGTTAAACCAGTGGATCCCCTCTAAAGTAATTTTATATTGAACTGATTGGGTATTTAACAAGTTTTTATAAGTATAGTTTATTTAAAGTGGTATGTTATTGTAGCTCCTCGAAAAGTAAAAGAAAAAATGTACGGAAATGATTTCTGCAAGCATCCAGCCTTTGATTCCTTCGTCGATTAGGGAAATAAAATTTCAGGGCTTCACAAGATTTCAGAGCTCTTTGCTGGAATGTAAGTGCAGCAGTTACTCTAACACTTTCCAGGATTTGGCTTTTCTGAGTGGGCCAATTGTGCCTCCATGTTTCACTCTGAGTGCAGAAAACGTTTTTTTCACTGCCGTATACAAGTCTTCAAAATCCTCGTTGACTGTGATGTCCTGGAGGGAGAGAGACGCAGGTAAAAGGTTTGACTCCTGCATTGAGAGGATCTGTTTTTCTAGAGGAATGTTTCACTTACTGAAAAGTCTAAAGTCTCTATTGATGAATCTGGGTTTTCTTGAAGAGACTGAAGGATCTTGGAACATCCAATGTTCTGGATAGGATTCCTACCGACCTGACAAGAAATACACAACATGCAAACATTCATTCCTCGTTTCTGTTTGTTCTGAAAGTGCAAACCTGTTTAATATTTTTCAAGTGGTTTTGTACTGTATTTCTTCAGTCTTTCAACATTTTTCTGTAGACTTCGACTGCTTTTTCACATGTCCTCCATTCATTCTGTGAACATTGTCAGAGGTTTGTTTTTGACTTGACTCTTGACTGTTCATGAACCAGTGGACCAGATCTTCACCCTGGTTGAGTTGTTAAGATGGTAAGAACTAAGATGAAAGATAAACTTCTTAATTTACTGGTTTGTCTTGGCACCAGCCCTCACTCACCTATGGATCATACTGGACCAAACAAGATCCTGAATATGACTCGTTGAAACAAACTTCCTTCATAAGATGATAAGGCTAAGCCTTGTGGATAGGGTGAGAAGCTAAATTATTTGGGTGTATTATGGAGAAGAGCTGTTGCTCGTGAAGGGAGTTGGATGAGGTGGTTCAGGCATCTGATTAGGACAGCTCCCTCTGGAAATTTTTCCACTGAGAAAAGACTAATAGACCTAAAACTTACTTTAGGGATCTTATATCCCCTCTAGCCTGGGGATCCCAAGGTAGAAGTGCTTCGGAGGAGAGAGATGTTTGGGTTTCCTTTCTTGACTTGTTGACCCAATCACAGACAAGTGGACAAAAATGGATGGGTAAATAAATAAATAGATAAATTAACTCTGATTTATGAGTCTGCTGGACACATGAATCTCCTTGGATAAGCTCTCAAATGAAAAGCCAGGTTTGTGGCAAGACACGGAGCCAGGTACTTTATTACCAGGCTATCACAAAGACCCAATTCAATTCACAATTTTTGAGTTGATGATAAATAGCAAAGATAACAGCCTGACAAACATATAAAAAAGCTTTTTAGCTTTAGCAAGGTGAATCCCAAAGAACTATTACTTGAAAACTCTATATACATTCAGTGATTAAATGGAGGGTGATTCATCTCTTAGGCCTTGTGTTAGATCTATTTTGGATGTTTTGCCATTTCTTAAATGCTTTACTTTAAGGTACTGGTTATTTCTGCTATAGATAGTTCTGTCTTTAGGCCTGGCACTTGTCTTGTGATGGACCTACAACCTGTCCAGGGTGTAACCTCATGCACAATGACTGTTGAGGTAGGTACCAGCTTACCCGGTGATCTGGAAAGGAACGGCAGGTAAAGAAAAATGGATAACGGCTTGGCACCTCTTCATTTGTACTCCTTTTGCTCACTTTATTCAGTTTTCGAGCATACACTGTACAATAGGCTGCCATGGTCACTGACAGGGACTGAACAGAAAACGTGAAAAAGCTGCTAAAATATAAAGAGAACTTTAAAAGACACTCAGAAATCCTGCTGGAGAGTTATTGATTTATACCGCTGAGAAAGACCACAAGGTTGCCTGCTTGCAATGTGGATGATTATAACATTTTCCTTGGGTAGAACTACAATAAATTAAAATTTCTGCCTCTGTACCAAATTGATTATTTTTATTATACATTGAAAAACGCCCAATGTTTGCTAGTTTAGATGTACTTGAGCCATAGTACTGCTATTGTTTTTGCTTACCGCAGGAGGTATAAGATCAGTTTGATGGAGGTGTGCTCCTCTTAAAGGCAATTTCTGCTCCTCAGTCATAAAATGCATGCTTAAAGGAGAGAACATTTCTTTTTATGTAAGTTATATTAAAGTGAATTGAACACACATTTCATTAAAGGATTCCAAAATCGTTTGTACTTCGCACACTTAGTTAAGCAAACTAAAGTTTTAATTTTACTGATGTGTTTTGCTGAAATCATATCTTTTTCACAGCTAAATTTCTCTATTATTTTTCTGTGCTGCGATGGATTTTTCAAATTAGAATCAATCAAATATTTGTAGATCCAAGTTTTAAACGCATTAGTAAATAAAATAAATTCTTCCTAAACCCACACCATCTTTATGCTTTTAACTGAATTCATTGTTGAATAGAACTTTTTTTTTTTTTTACTCGTATAACATCATGACCAGGATGATTCACCTGCATTACTGACACAAAAGCAAAGTACAGTGATCCATTTATTTATCCTATTTTGTCCTCGGATTCCCCCCATTGCTTGTAAAGCTAGAACCAATTTCTTTTCAGCAGCTTACATTCAGGAATCTGATTGTCTTGTTTTCTTTGAGGCCCATGGCGAGATGGATGGCTCCCTCAGGGGGGATTCGGTTGTTACTGTGGTGGGAAAATAAATGCAGAAAAGAAAAAAGGTGTTGAAGCGTAATGGAGGTAATTGTAAAGCTTTTTTTTTTTTTAAACTGTGGTAATAGTTCAAGCAGCAAACAAAAAACATTTGAAAGGAAAACCTGGTTTCACTACAAAAGTAAAGTTTAAGTATTTATGGTGATGAAAGTCTTTAAATTAATGAAAAGCTGTAATTTTTGTGATTTTAATTAGATAGAATTTGCTGAAACGTGTCATATGTGTAAATTTGATCTGAATGAATGGTTAAATAAAATGTTCAGTTATTGTTTCTCATCATTTGATTAGAAGAAAATCTCATACCTCACGTTCAGCTCCTCCAAAACATCGTTGTCTTTGAGAGCTTGTCCTAAAGCAACGGCTCCTTCTTTACCAAAGTCATTATTTGACAGATCCACTGATCTGAGATAAACATTTCCCTAAAACACACGAGAACAAGAAACTTTTGTTGAAGAAAAGTAGAGGCACATTGATGTTTTCTAACAGATTTTGAACATTTAAACAAAAAAGTTGTTGCTTTTAGTAAACGGAATGTAAAGCACATTCATTTCATGAGCTTCTAATTCATCTTTTATGCTATAATTTATGGATTTGAACCTGGATCGTCATGTTTCAGGTGTTTTTCTTAAAAAAAAAAAAAAAAAAAAAATCATACAATTGTGGGAATTTTTTTTTTGTAAAATGTTTGACTAAGTTTTCTCAAAGTGATCTGTACCCAGTCAATAAATGTGGTAAAGCAACATCTCTTGGATGTATGAAATATTTATTTATTTTAGAAAAAAAAAAAAAAAAACACTAAACTTGAATAGTTTTTAGGTTTTGGGGTAAGAACTTGAAAAATAAAGATTGTTTTTGGCAATTTATAAATTAGAAATGTATTTTTAATAAAGCTTTACTGAGTTCCAAAATAAACACAAACACTTGTATAAGAATTTTCTTAACTTTAGACCAGGGTTGTCAAACTCACTTATTAAAAGGGGGCCAAAATTAAAACCTTTTTTAAACTAAGGGCCAGTTTCAGAATCTACATTAACTCAAGTTAGATACCCAACATCTTGTCTTGGTTGCAGGTTCCTCAAAAAGGGTTTGATTGGTCTCATTTGATGTATTCTCATGCACTTTTGACATCATAATCAAAGATTATTGAAAAAATTCAAGTGAAAAAAATATTTTACTTTTAAAATATAATCTTGTGGGCCAGAAAAGATGTCAACAAAGGCCACATTTGGCCCCTGGGCCTTGAGATTGACATATGTGCTTTAGACCAAGTTTGAACTTTTGCCCATTTTTTTAACGAGTATTGTAATTTTTTTTTTAAAGAAAACCTGGAAAAAAATACAGTTTCACATAATACTAATAGACAAATAAAATGAGCAAAGATGGCGTCATATAAAATTGTTAATATTATATTACAATCATTACATCGTAACTGCTGGTTTACACACTTCAAAGTTGGCTGCAATAGTTTGTATAATTACTTGAGAAGATAATTATACAAAATGTATGTGGTTTACAATGAATGTCAGTGTTCTGTTCTAAATAGAATCAAAATATACAAATTTTATCATTTTTGTCATTATATTTTAAAAGCTCTCAGTGATGATTGTATTTTTCTTGCATTAGGGGAAAAAAACAACTGATCAAACATAAATTTGCAATATTACCCCAAGGCCATTAGCCAACGTGACCGCTCCTCTCCCTCGAAAGCAATTCCAGGCAAGACACAGAGATCTCAGCCCCATGTTTTCTGACAGATAGTTGCCCAGGGTTTGACCTCAAGATAGGAAACAAATGAATAAAACATGAACAAATAACAGCACAATATGATTGTTAAAATCAGGTCTCTCTTGTAAATGAGTCCCGGAGGCTCAATGGGATTAACCTGTATAAATAAAGGTTGAATGAATAAAACGTCACCCTGTTTTTCTTCAGATTCACCGGTAAGCCTGATTTCCATGACTTTAACACATTTCTGAAAACAGAAAAATTTGATGTTTATTTAAATGAGTTAGTCACTTCCACACTTCTTTTTTTTTTATCTTCTAGTTTTTTTTTGTGTGTGTGTGTGTTTTGGTATTGAGTGGAGAGTGGAGAAAATGAAAAGTATTTTCATCATCCCTTTCACCAACACAAAGTGTGCACTTGACAAATGACTGCAGTTGGATATAAAACCATAAAGCATGAAACATGTTTGATTTTTTTCCCCTCACTGTGAAGAGAACTCAAAAAAAAAAATCAGATTTTTCAGCAGAAGCAAAAGCTGCATCGAATATTTGAGAGTGAATCATGCCTGTAGGTTTGACAAAAAGACACCACGACATCCAGTTTTCCCACAGACTCGTTTTCAATTATCAATACGAGATCCTCGTTGTCCCGCTCTGCCATTCTCCCAGAGGACGCCAATCAAAAAGCTCATCCACATGATAATTGGAAGAGGTTTTAATGAAAGCAAGATGTTCCTGACCTTTGAATGCCACAGTCCTGCCCATACTTGAAGATAAGGCTCCACTAATGTGGCAAATTCTTTCATGGGAATGGCCTTCGAAGAAGCTAATAATAGCAAACCTCGAATATTGTCATCTCCACATTTTCCACCATAATTGTTCGGTTTATAGGGCGCTATTGTGTATTCAATTATCCTTTAGGAAGACAGAGGGCTGAAATGTTCATTGATGCTTTCAATGACTACTTGATTATATGTGGTCATTTGAAGACAGATAAAGAAGGATTTTTCATCATTAAACAAATGCATTACTTTTTTTTAATCTTTGAAATTAGGCCCCAAAATTTGGATGGATTATTAAAAAAAAAATAAATAGACAAACAAAAAAAAAAAATAAAACCTGGTACAGATATATCGGTAGTTTACTTTTTAAATTTAGAGATATTTTGGCTTGTGTAAAACAAATGGATAAAGTTCAGGCGCAATAAGCTACCCTCTTCCGTCACACCTAAAATTAATAACGCACAAACAAGCAATATGCCGTCTGATCTGCTTGTTCAAGGATTCAAAGATTCAAGGTTCTTGTCATTCGCACCCCATGTGGTACATGTGGTGGAATGAAATTGTGTACACAGGGTCCCAGTTACGTCCAACATCCATCCATCCATCCATCCATCCATCCATTATCTTTACCTGTTTATTCCAGTTTGGGTCACGGGGGTCGCTGGTGCCCATGTCCAGCAATCACTGTGCGAGGGGCGGGGTACACCCTGGACAGGTCGCAAGTCCATCACAGGGCCACATAGAGACACACGAGACAAACAACCATTCACTCTCTCACTCACACCTAGGGACAATTTAGAGTTACCAATCAGCCTAACATGCATGTTTTTGGTCTGTGGGAGGAAACCGGAGCACCTGGAGAAAACCCACGCATGCACGGAGAGAACATGCAAACTCCACCCAGAAAGGCCCCTGGACCGGGGTTTGAACCAAGGACCTGCTCGCTGAGAGGCAGCAGCTCTACCAGTTGCGCCACCGTGCTGCCCATTATGTCCAACAATAAAATGTAAAACAAAAACAGTAATATGATCTAAGCTATGAACTAAGAAAAGCATCAACTAAATATACACTAAGCACTAGCAGCATAAAAACATTACGTCCAACAGCAGCACAAACATGAGTCTGTGTGAGAAGATGAGCACACATGCTCCTTCCAGGAGGACCAGTGCTGGGATCAGCTACTTTATTTGGGCCTCCCTGGTGTCCTTATCAATGGCCCAGGTCACAACTTCAATTGTGCATAAAGAAGGAAGAATATTTTCTTCAGTCTTAGGGAGATCTGAAGAAAAGAACTTATGAGAGTGCATCAGGTTATACATTTCTTGAACCGGGTCTATAGGTTATGGTAAAATTGAATCTGGCAAAGAAAAATGACCCACAAGCTGGACAAGAGTTTAATCTCTTAGCATTTTGAATGTAGGCCGGGTTCTTGTAAACAGTCCAAATGTCTCCACTCTTCGAGAGCTAGTTTAATGGCTAAAAGTTTATGATTGCCCACATCGTAGCTTATGTCTGCCTAGATGATCGTAGAGAGAAAAGGGCACAGGGGTGGAGTCTTTCATTACTAGAAAACTTTTGGGACAGGATGACTCTCATTTCAAAATCCGTTTCATCAACTTCCAAAACAAATTGGAGTTTGATATTGGGGTGTGACAAAATGGGTGCAGAAGTATATTACTCTTTTTACTTATGAAAAGCTGAGTTGGCCTCCAGAGTGCAGTTGAACATCCAAAGAGTAGAGGTAAGTTGTGTGAGAGGGGCTGCCACTAAGCTGCGGTCTCTGATGAAGTGACATGAAGTGACGTATAAGTTGTCAAACCCCAGGAAGCAATGTAATTGCATGCCATTCTCAGGTACTGGCCATTCTGCCACTGACTTTACCTTTTTGGGTCCATCCATACCTGCACATTCTCAAAAATAAAGAGAGAATAAGGAGATCAATGGCACGGTCATAAGGCCTATGAGGTGGTAGTGAGAGAGCCTTCCATTTACTAAACACTGGAGCCAAATCGTAACTGGGAGGAATTTCAATGGGATTTTTTTCAGCATTTTCAGGGATCTTGACTGATCACGTAATAGCTGATCATAAACACTTTTGAGAACATTTTTTATTCCTTCTCTCTATTCTATTTTCTGCCCAATTGATTACCAAATTATGTCTCTTTAGCCGGTGGTAGCTCAAAATAAATTTAGGATTAAGGTATATCTTAGTACCCAGAGTATTGTGGGCTGACTGAGAGAGACGGACACATCCAAGTAATGCGCAAGTGATTTTATTTAGTGCTCAAAGGGTTTAGGTAGGATCTGGAAGGGAATGGAGGGCAGGTAAGTATACTTGTAGTAAAAGTAATTTTCCACAGTCCAAGATGAATCTCTTACTTTCTCCTATTTGTGTGGCAGACCTGGGGAGGAGGGTGAAGGATCCCAAACTGGTGAGGTCCAGGAGGAGGTTCCATCAAGGGGTTCTACTTAAGGAGACTGGATGTCCACAAGGAAGAACCACAGAACCAGGACTAGAAAGCACAATGGAATACACAGGTTGGTTTATCTTATCTTAGAAAGTAGCATAATGTTCCAGTGGAGGAGAACGGATCCAAAGGTCCTTAAGTACACCAGAAGCTCATCCGTTAGGGACTGGATCAGCTGTCATGGTATGGCTTGACCTTGTCTCTCAGAGAGTCTGCAAGGAAGTGGTTACAGAAAACATTGGACTCCTGCAGAGATAAAAGTGGCTTAACCAGAAAGTTTGCACTTGAAGTGGAATGGGAGAAATTTTAGAGATCGGAAGTAGTTTTCAACATAACTATCATTCCACAAAACAGATGAAATTAAATGATAAACATTAGGAGACTTATTTAGATATTATTTGAGACACTTATTGATGCTGTTTGTGGATGAAATGCACAATTTTATTTAAAGAGAATGACTGTAAAATATATTCATGGCACAAAGTTGTGGTTTTATGAACTTTTGAGTCATGGGTAACGTTTTAGTTTCTGAAAGGCTATGCCTAACAGAAAACACAAGACAGTTATAATGCAAAACACATTTATTTTTCTACCTGCATGGTCTCCCAGAGCATTGCAGCTCAGGTCGAGGTGCTGCAGCGTGGTGTTGGAAATCAGTGCTGGGACGAGATTTTCAGCAGACTGGTCTGTGAAATGGTTTCCTGACAGATGCAGGCTCACCAGGGTGTTGTTTACCTTCAGCATATTAGATATGGCTCTGGCACCAAAATCCCTGAGATTGTTGTCAGACAGGTCCACTTCTGAAAATTAAAACGCAAATGGAACCATTAGAAGAGGACCGTGCCAAAAGCATTACAATTTTGTTTGGAACAAGGGTTCAAAAAATGAATTATCCAAAATTTGAAAAATACATGGCTGGGGGTACAGTTTCACAGCTTATTTGATGATGCATTCATAACTATAAATGGTACAGACATTTATTCACTGTCTGTTGTACCCAAAGCAGACTTTCACATGTGCCTTATGCTGACATCGTTTGTAAAGTGTGGCAGTAGTCTGTTTTTACTTACGGAGATCAGTGAAACATTAGAACTATGTAGTTTTATTGCCAATTAAGAAGAGCAAAAATATAAATATTGCTTAAAACCATGATTGGATTGATTTTCTTTTGGCCTTTTGATTGCTAACCTAAAATAATTTATTGTTTATTTTCAATTACTTTTGTGATTGCTGACAACTTGTCCACATAAGCATCTAAGCACCATCAATTTGATTACAGTGGCATGCTGCAATTAACATTTAATTTAAATGACTACTGGTTGAATGGTTGTAGCCACACTAACTGTGGAAACATGTTTTAATAGAGGGCTGCTGAAGGCATGCATGAACTTGTACAACTCACCCATATGAAGAACATCGTACAACAAATATATGCGGTTAAATGCAAACTGGCAGTACATTTTATCTGACCTGACATAGGTCTTTGGAAATGTGCTGTTTTTTTTTTAAGTTTATTACGTTTTTAAAAACAAAACAATTCAATATACAATAAGAGATACAATTACAAATAAAATGAAAGGCAGCAGAAATTTTTTTAAATAAATCTTATAATATAGTTTTAAAGAGATAATATTAATAAAATTGCTGGAAGATGGACCACCCATCTTTAGTGAGTTTTAAATAGTTGTAAAAATGTTCACACAAATAAACAATACCAGAGTTGGTTAATATTTCAGATTTTCAAAACTCAGTAATATTAAAATATTGGTATTTAAATGTGTGCAGCACTACAGAAATTTATTTATTTATTTATTTATATTTTCATGAATTCATCAATCATGTTTCCCATCTGACACGATCGAGGAGTGCTACAGCACCCCTGCATCCCTACTTCCTACTTTAATGTAAACATTGTTCTGCAAGTGGTCTGAGCTAAATTTGTTCCTTTGGTTAAATAGCACTTGCATAAAGACACCGCGATCTTTCCTTTAACGTTTTATTTCTCTTTTTTAATGAAGCCATTCAGGTTTCTGCATGCGCGTCAATTAAACGGTCACTAATTCGTTCAATTGTGAATGCATATAATTGGATTACCACTTAAAGTTAAACAGTGTTGTATAGTAAAGCACATTAACAACAAATTGCCAGTTAATTGTAGGAGCCATCCTGCATAGATTCTGAGTTTCTGAACAAAATCTTTAACAAAATGTTTTCCACTAAGAACACTGACCTAGATGTTAACATGTGTTGATCATGTAACTCGTATGAAAAGTGATGGTGACACCATGAACAACGCAAACTGTGTGTTTTGAGTGTCCAGAACAACTACCTGTGATGTAACAATTTTTCTGTAACATCTTGGCGATAGCAGCTCCACCCATTCCTTCCATCCAATTATCTCGCAGGTTCACCCGCCGTATTGAAGTGTTGGTTACCAGGGAAACCGCCAGAGCTTTGGTGCCCTGCAAACACGCAACCAACCCCACTGTCACCATCAAAATGAAATTCTTCTGCTCAGTGTGTTTCTTTTTTATTATCTTTATTCCAGTTAAAGGAGTGGATGCAGGTGGGCAGAGAAACAGAAAAGGAAGTATTATAACCTGTGCAAGATACATTAAATAGAAGGGAGCCATGTGGAGGTGGGGGTCAGAAATGAAGCTCACTGTACATAGAATTTATACTTTCTAGCAGACTTCAAAGTTGAATGCTCAAGTTTTAATGTTGACCTGCCTTGATAAATGTGCAGAAGCAACATCATAAATTCGTCTGAATACATATAATTTTGCAGGATTTGAAAACCAGTCAGTCTGCAAAAGAATGGAATGGTACCATTTGGTTTTACACTAAATCTTAATATGTCAGAATAATGTTCAAAATAGTTTTTTTTAATGTTTTTATAGCTTCTATTTTCACATTTTCTCAGAAAATTGCTCTAGATTTGTTCCATTTTTTCTTCAGTTTAGTTTAATCCCATTAAATCTAAGGATGTTTATAAACTACAATTAGTTGATGCCTTCTTAATTCTTTTTCTTTTTTAGTGGTACATTTAATTATTTGTCCAACAATTGACTTTAGCGTTGTTTAAAGCTAGCTGTCCCTTTTACTGTTTTCATGTGAAGTTAATCATTGTAAACTATGAAATCAAACATTAAAAAGTTATCATTAACTACATCTAACAGTGCAGCTAGAAAGATTTTACTCCAATTGTTAAGATATAATTACATGCATTTCTGAAATGCAGGTACGCACTTCGCGTAAACAAATCACTCGGCTGTATCGGCCAAAAACAGTGTGGAAGCTTGTCATTTGAATGACCTGCATTAAACTGGATGTTGATAACCAAATATGGTTAAATCAATCATAGAAACCCAAAGAAGAGGTTTAGTTAGTCACATGGACAAACTGCTCAGTTAAAACAAGAGACTAGACGCTATTTTACTGTTCAGACAGACAATGATCCAAAGAATACGACGAAAGCAACTGAAAAGATTCTGAAAGCAGAAAGTTGAATAATCTGAGACATCTGTGTGCAATCACCGGGGAACTCAAAATCCGGTACTTTACCTGTAGACTAATGCAGCAAATCTCACAAATATGCAACTAAAAACAGGCTGCAGTAACGGTCCGGTAAAACTTCAATAAAGAATGTTTACTAGTTAAACATTTAAATCAGCCATTGCTTTACAGAATTACAAAATATTAATGATTAGTTTTTGGTTATATTCATTTGTTCAATTAACTTTTACTTAAGCTAAATCCTCAAAACGACTTCTAATAGAAAATGTGCTGTTTAAATTATAGGAAAATGGTGTAATAGACATAAACACATACAAATGAATCCATTTAATATTTAATCTGAACTACACAGACTCTGTTTCTTATAAAAAAAAAAATTTGTAAAAGTCTTCAAAGTTCACTCGCATAGCTCACAATGTAATACTCTCCAGAATTTCTCATTATCAGTGCAGTCCCTGCAGGAGAACGTGACTTTGAAATTCACAGAGTGAAGGCAAGGACTCATCTGTGAAATCTTTCTTTAGCTTAAGATTTTCAAATCAAATACAGGTTTCCACAAAAAGCTTAAAATATTCATTGACGTGTTTCAAGAAAGACGTGTTTCATTTGAGTAACTCCCCTGGAAGAGGAACGTCAGAAATAGACGTTCCTTTGCTTTAAAGCTGGTTAAAGTTATACGACCTATAAAACACCAACACAAAGGGGTAGTTCAAATCTTTTAAAGTGAGGTTCTGTGTGAGCGCCGTGAACAATTGTAGATAGCTCTTTGAACAACCTCAAATTGGAGTTTGTTAAAAAGCAAAATTATTCTCAAATGGGAAGTGAAATATATTCAAAAATAACGAAAGAAAGAAAGTCCTGTTAACTTTTGTAACTAAATGATCAGGTCCATCATATCCTGGATGACTGAGAATCCACACTAACGTTATACCAAACTCCATTTTGAGATAAATTATTTATTCAGATAAAATTAACAAACTAATTGCTAATCTTAAAGAGTTTGAAAATGGATTGCATAGCATTTATGCCCAATATTCCCCCACAAAGTAAACATATAATGCAAAACTGAAGGTGATGTAAAAGGTTTATAAACGTGTTCATATACTGTAAAAAGAGTTTAAAGTGGCAACAGTTCACTTTTCTTCTTAGCACCACTGAACTCAAATATATTTCTCTGGAATGAGACAATTAAAACTGTTATCTACAACAGGTAAAACAATAATTGTTCTTATTTCCACACAACCCCAATTTAAAGAGTTGATCCTTTAAGTCACACTTGCTTGTGTCCAACAGTTTAATAACAAACTGTAATAAAAAGTTGATAAAATATGCATCTGGGCTAAATTTGTTCCCGCTTTCCATAAAATATGAAAAACAAAAAAAAGCATCAATTATAGAGTAAATGCTCCATTTTGTTGCCAATACAGTAATTTTCCCACAGCCCCTAACTTTATTTCAGTACCTGAGGTCCAAGTCCATAATGCTTCATGCTCAAATCGCTCTTTTGCATGTTTTCCAGGAAACGAGAGGCAGGCGCCACGTGTAACCTCTCACAAGTCTTCCTGTAGTTCATCTTTTCCATCAGAGCATCTGCTTCTTCCTGATCTGCATCGTAAACAAAGACAGTAGCGTGCACACTAGAAGCGGCCAACGTGTCTCCGACAGAAACATGAAGATGAGGCACTCTCGGCCCGATGGAGGGCTTTTTGAGTTCCATATTGAAAATAATTTTGTGGCTGATTTTGCCCAAAAGCACATTCATCTCATTCAAATCAGACAGTTTTCAATTCTGACTGAAAGGGAAGCCTGACACAAAGACTGAGATGAAGTCATTAACATGCAGAACAGGACTCTGTATGTGGGTGAGCACATGGAGGGTTTTCTGTCATATTATTTTTTCCCCTGAAAACATTTCAAATTTGAGAATATTAGACAGATGAGGAAAATATGCAACAGATGGGGAGAAAGGAGGGTTTTTCCTTTTCAGTGCATGCTCTGATCAATAAACACAGTCAAAATAAATGATAAAAAACATGTTTGGTTCCAATGGAAAAAAAATAAAATACACATCTTATTACAAAATCTGCTCTTATTTTTATAAAAAATAAAAATTAACTCTACCTCCAAGCTCTAAATCGGTGTCCCAGTCCTCATCAGACTCCTCTCCTTGACATTCCCTTCCTTCTTGCTGCTCTTTAGTCGTTTCACCTCCTTCGTCCATGCTCTGACCCGAGCGTTGGTCTTTTGGCCCTTGCACACCAACTTCTGTCTGGATCCAAACTTTCTGGGTGCAGAAGGAGAACCTAACGTGTCATGACTCTTTAACCGTCACCGTGGCTGGCAGCCTGTGTGAACAAACATGGTGGAATTTCCTCCAGTAGAGCAAACACTGATCCCTGTTCATCATCCTGCATCGATCATTTTCACTCAGGTTTTCTTTAAAACTCTTTCCTACCATTCCTTTTTATGTTTTTAATCTTTTGAACTTAAACTTTTTTGGTTTTCACTACTTTTTTTTTCTGAGCTAGAGTTATCTTTTTCACATTGTCTCAAACTTCACACAGTTTTTATTGGCCCATGTTTTAAGTGCTGCAGAATGCATCAGGATGCCATAAGCATTTTCCACTTGTGTACAGGCACCAAGTCTGGCATGAAAAACACCTAGGACACTTTTTCATAAAAGCTGAAAAACAAAGATAAAGGCTATTTTTCAAGATGGCCACCATTAATATAAGAAAAACTGCTTTTCCCTGTAAAATTTATATGATTCAGGCGTTCTTGCAAAACTGAATGAAGTGGCAGATGCACACAACTTTGTGCAAATATGATGAGTAGAGCATGGTCCTTACGTGTCATTGTCAAATTTTAATGGCAGACTTTGTTAAATCGGTCAAGATCCGTACAATATTTTGAGCAATAAAGCTGTTTTCAAATGGTAACCTTTGTAGACATTCAAGTCACTCATTTATGTTAATAATATAGTTTAACGCTGAAAAGTTTTATTTAATCTAGTGTCAAAACAACTTCCAAAGGCAGCCATCTTTAAAAAAATAAATAAAAAGAGGCTTTTTTTATGTGCATACAATGATTTTTGGAAATATACGTACACATTTGTGCCAAATTATTGGTATCACAAAGTAAAATATTGTTTCAATATTTTTTTCTTCTTCTTTCGGCTGCTCCCTTCATCAGGGGTTGCCACAGTGAACTAACTCGCACGAAGACATGGCAGTTATTTTTGTTTACACCAGATGACCTTCCTGACACAACCACAGACTGTTTCACTAATCTACAGTACTAATGGTACCATTTAACATTGTACTGGTACTGTACTTTTTTTTTAACAGAACTTGATTTGTGCATAAGTTTTATATTTCAGAGAAAGTTACTTCTGGATAATATTTTCCATATTATCCAGAAGCAGTCATGGGACTTGCAGACATTAAAGCATATTTAAATGCATCTTGCCGGCTGTCTTTCATGCAAAAGTTTTAGATGGAGAGCATCTTGTGTCGAGCAATCACATTAAGAGCTGTTTTGAAAGTAACATTATGTGTGATCTTGCATGCCCTTTTTAGTTTTAACACTGCTAACAAGACCACGCCGCTAACCGAGCCACACCGCTAACAGTATCATGCTGCTAACTGGACCATGTTGCTAAGATAACCTCACTGTCATCAGAACCACTCCGCCAATAGGACCATGCTGCTGTAGATGTATTTCTTTTTCACTTCTGGTGCCTTGTTTTTCTATTTTTGTAGCATGCTTTGGTATAGCCGAACCGAACTCATGAGGATCGTGCTGCTGTTGTTCGGTGTATTGTTTTGCACTATTAATGACTAGCCTATATCTTAGTTTATATCTTAGATCCTTATTTATTTTTTCTTTTTACACTTTATATTTTTTGTATTGTTGGATTCAACTGATGGGACCCTGTGTACACAATTTCGTTCCACCTCATGTACCGCATGTGATGCAAAGGACAATGAAGAACCTTGACTAGGAATTAGAGCATAAGTTGTGAATCACTCTCGGGTACTTCCACTCCAACCTTTTCTCAGCTGGCAGGCAATTAAAGGATCTTGGGCGCGAGCTGGTGAGATCTCTCGATGAGTAAACATGCGCACCCACATGAGCTTATAGTTCTTTGTCTTTGGCAAGAAAGCAGCTGCACTGAGAAGGTTGTTATGGCCTCCATTTTTACAGCCTATCATGCTTGAGCAGGTCTTTAACATGCCTTCAGTTCTCACACAGTCTCTTCACATTGTCTTGGTGACGTTTTAATAATTCTGCTCCTAAAAGTTTTGGAAACATTTTGTCTGCCTACCTGGTTGATCACACTTTGATCAGCTTCTTACCTGCCCCAGCAGCAGTTCCTCTTCTTCCATTTTTGTCTCGTCTTTCAGAACCAAAGGCAGCAGCAACTCCAACTTCGTCTCATGAACCATGACTTTAATACCGATCATTTGCCATCCTGAGACAAAAATCTGTGATTTGTGGAAGTTTCCTGTTGTTCTTGCTTTCAGCCAAGCAGAAAAAAGGTCAATAATTTGAGTGGATTTGAGCAGAACCTGGTGCATTTATGTTCTCAGGTAGTCTATACTTCAGCTACCTCAGTCCTCCAGGGTCAGCACGAATCCAAGTGCTTGTGTAAAGTTTGGACAGCTTGTTTTGTTGACAGGTTGCTATGGTGCCACGTAATATCTTTTCTACTTCGAATACCAGCTCTCTGAGCCGTGACAACCAGAACAGGCAGGAGGAGAGGTAAAGGCTTGTTCAAGAGAAAATTCTTCGAAAACTTAAAGTTTGACCTTTAAACTAAAATGCTTTAATCTTAAAGCTTCTTCTTCTCCAAGAAACTTTTCAGTTCTTTTATAGAAAAAAAAAACAAGCAAATGTGTCGACATATTCTGTAAATGCGTCTCTTTATTTGTAAGTAAATGCAAAGTCCTTGCAGTTGATGCAACGAAATGGAATTCTGCTCAATCAAGTGCACAACAAAAGGTCAATAAAGCAGAGGCTGATTGGATCAGAGCAGTAGCAACGCACAAACACGGAAAGAAACCCACCAAGAATGTTTGTTTTATCCAGGCAAAAACCAGTAGCGCTGCCTCACTGACTGACACAGAGCTGGTAAACGCACAGCGTTTTGAAATACTCAAACAGGAAACTAAAGCTCACCATGCATTTCTTCACTGCTGCTGTTTTACCCTCATTCCTGAAGGACATGAGAGACGACGTACAGGAAAAGCACTTCTTTATTGGAATCGAGCAGGATCACGGTGTTCATTTGACATAAAATACATTCTTAGAAAATACTGAAGTGACGCGTTTAAACTTTGTCTTGTTTTACTGTTGCACATTTTACATCAATCATTTTGGACCGCTTTAATTTCATTTAATTTTAAACTAAAACTAAATGTAGACAAAAAGGAGACATTCATCCAAAATGAAACGTGGGAATCAATAAATTACCCCGCCGTAACAAGATAGCTGATTTTGAAGGGAATAATATACAAAACACACATTTCCATTTAAAAGCCACATTAAAATCTTTTAAATCATGCATTTTTTATTTGAATGAAAGCACACACAAAAAAATGAACAAGACTCAGAAGTTGACAAGAGAAAGTCACAAGTCGATGCAGAATGGGTGATTTAAAAAAATAAAATAGAATATTTACAAATTACAACCCTGACTGACAAAGCAGCAGCAGAAAACCTCAGCAGTTGAGTCCGTTTTCTTAAGATGAGGAAAACTTCTGTGAAATATACAATAGGACTGAAGGGATGAGATCATTGCTAAAAAGCCATGTGTGCGGTTTCCTGTGAGCAAAAGACCATCTGCAACATCAAATCTGCATGTTTGTGTGACTCGGAAAAATAGTCATGCATTTTTTGTCTTTTATCTTACAAGGTCAAAGACAACACACAGATATGGGGTGCCGTTTGTAAAGTTACAGTCAAAAATCAACATCAATATTTTTGGCTTATTTAGCTTTTAATAAGGAAAATATAGGTTTTTTTTTTTTCAAAGTTATATTTCACCATGTTATTCATTCATTTATAAATGTCATAGTTCCAAACTAAATATTTAATTTTCAAGCTAAATATTTAGTTTACAAATTAAATACTTAACTTGCAAGTTAAATATTTAGTTAGTAAACTAAATATTTAGGTGTAAATTAAATATTTATTTTCAAAAGTTATTCCAATCTGGCTTCAAATCTCTCCACAGCATTGAAACTGCTCTACTGAGGGTTTTTAAGGACATTTTCCTAGCCACTGATGCAGGTGATTCTGTGCTGCTTGTCCTATTGGACTTTACATCTGCTTTTGACACCATCGACCATGGGATCCTCATTTCTAGGCTAGAGCAGTGGGTGGGCATCACATGGTCTGCCCTCATTTGGTTTAGGTCCTACCTCTCTGATAGAACCTTTTGTGTCAGTATCAAAAAATTCAGTTCAGCATCAGCAGCACTTCAGTGGGGGTACCGCAGGGGTCCATCCTCAGTCCCCTTCACTTTTCATTATACCTGCTGCCACTAGGTGCTATTTTCCGCAATCACAACATACCCTTTCATTTCTATGCTGATGACTGTCAAATTTACTTCCCCCTGAAGCACAGAGGCACACGCTCTATTCAACCTTTTCTTGATTGCCTGGCTGACATCCGGGACTGGATGGCTTTAAACTTCTTAAGTTTCAACAAGAAGAAGTCTGAAGTCATCTTGTTCCATCCCAATGGCACGGCCATGAATCACTGCATTGACCTTTCCTCTCTAGCTTCGTTAAAGAAACAAAGAGTCACCAATTTGGGAGTGATAATGGACCCTTCCTTAAAACTTAAGTCTTGTAAACATGATTGTTAAAGCCTGTTTTTTTCAGCTGAGGCAGCTGTCTAAGCTGAAGCCCATATTGTCCAAAAAGAATCTTGAGACAGTGATCCATGTGTTCATAACATCCAGGCTCGATTACTGCAATGCACTTCTGTTTGGAATCAATCAATCCTTCATTGCACGTCTACAATTGGTCCAAAATGCTGCAGCCCAATTTTTAACTGGTACAGGCCATAGAGAAAACATTACTCCAGTTTTGGCCTCCCTGCGCTGGCTACCCATTCACCTTCGGATCCAGTTCAAAATACTCTTGTATGTTTTTAAATCACTGAACAGTTCTGCCCCATCTTATCTCACTGATCTTCTACAGCCATATGTCCCACCGCGCTCTCTGAGGTCAGCAGACCAGATGCTCCTTTCAGTTCCAGAAACCCGTCGCAAGCTCAGAGATGACAGGGATTTCTCTGTTGCAGGTCCAAGACTGTGGAATGAGTTGCCACTGCGTGTCAGGCAAGCTCCCACACTCGCAGTCTTTAAGTCTCGCCTGAAACCCACTTTTATTCCCTTGCCTTTGACACGGTGCAATTTGTTTTGATCCTGTCTATATTCTACAGTGTTGGCCATTTAGTTATTATCCACTGCTATTTGTATCTATATTTTTATTTTATGTTTTCCTGTCCGCTGTGTTTGTTTGTTTCTATTGTACAGCACTTTGGTTGGCCTTGTTGTTGTTTAGTGCTCTATGAATAAATTGGTATTGTATGGTAAAACTAAACATTTAATTTCAAAACTAAATATTGTCCAAGCTAAATATTTAATTTCCAAACTAAACATTTAATGGCTAAGCTAAACATTTAATTTTCAAAATATTTAATTTGCTAACTAAATATTTAACTCTCACTTAAATATTTAACTTGTAAGCTAAATATTTAACTTGCAAGTTAAATATTTATGTCTGAGTTAAATATTTAGTTAGCAAATTAAATATTTAGTCTAGGAATTAAATGGAATTAAATTAAATCAGCACTTTGGTTGGCCTTGTAGCTGTTTTAAGTGCTTTATAAATAAATTGGTATAGTAAAGTGGTATGGCAAATGTTAAGCGTAGAAATTAAATGTTTAGTTTGGAAATTTAAATGTTAAGTTTTGAAATTAAATATCTAAGTTACACCTAAATATTTAGTTTACTAACTGTATATTTAACTTGCAAGTTAAGTATTTAGTTTGTAAACTAAATATTTAGCTTGTAAATTAAATATTTAGTTTGTAAACTAAATATTTAGCTTGTAAATTAAATATTTAGTTTGGAACTATGACCTTTATAAATGTGTGAAAATACAACTTTGAAAAAATAAAATAAAATAATTAAAGGCTATATAAGCCAAAATACTGATCTTAATTTTTGACTGTGTAACTTTACAAATGGCACCCCATACACAGAATAAACAAAACACATACCTGAGATCATGCTTGTTTACGTCCACTCATACAGAGATGTGCATTTTGAGGATGATTTCTTGGGCACACACACACACTAATGCCACTAGGCAGTTTACAGTGATAAAGTGTTGTTTAGCCACAAGGTATAGCACAACCCATGCAAACAGACAGACTTCATGTACCAAATGTTGGCAAAGAGTTAATGTAAGGCAAGAGGCAGAGAGCTCGGAAGCTGCAAATGCAAATTGTAAAAGTTGGCGATGAATGTACAAGGTGAAGCTGTCAGGCGTGCAGCATCATTTGCCTTCCTTAATGTTTTTGCAGTGAGATGTTCCATTTAGAAGAGGAAATACTTACTGACTTGCTAAAACTGGAGGAGAGAACAAAATGCTACAGCCAGGAGGCAATCAGCTTAACAAAAAGACTGAACGCATGGAGTGGAAAAGTACATTTAAAGCTTATCGTTTTACATCTTGTGGAGTTAAAAATAAACCTCTTTTTTTGTGTGTAGCTAGATTTATGGTTTGGTTATAGTCTTTAAGCTGTGGCACGGTGCTTTGTTCACTCACATCCTGATGTTGAGAAGGGACTTCCTGTTTGTGGGGAAAAAAGTGATCATCTCACTATTTCCCATTTAACAACTATTGTATTTATGTACTTATTATACGTACTTATTCTAAGAAGAGTTTAGCATTTCGAAAAACTCCTTCGCATTTTGAGTCTAATTTAACAAATTTTAGGTCTTTCGTGTACATCATATTTAAACTGGCCTTAGTTTGGCATTAAAATGATAAAACTATGTGATTCTTTAGTGACCATAAGGATGATTCATAACAGAATCATTAACTTCTGCGCAGCTGTCCCAACTTGTCAATTGGTTAATTTTTGGGCTTTTCAGGTTTGAACGTTTCCTAAATATACACTACTTTTTATGAAAAAAAACTAAACAGGAAATTGTGTTGCCATATATGGAGGAAGTAGTTTTGATAATTAAATAAACAAGGGAAGAACATTGGAAAATCAATACTGGAAAGGCAAAAACACAGCTTATACTTATTTTACTTCCACCTATAAATTATATTTTTAGGGAACCTTGTTTAGTTTAACTTGCTCTGACCCTAAAGATCTCTGGGTTTCAGCATCCCTCTGGGACATTTTGGGTTTTAACAATATAACGATATGCTTTTTATAAAAAAAAATAAAAAAAAAAGGGGGGGGGGGGCTTTTGTTGCATAATAAAACAAATAAAAAAACTTAAATTCTACTACGGATTTCTTCATTTTAAATCCCAAACGTAGCTTGTAAAATATCCTCCTTTTACCAACATTATAGAATTGAACAAAACATGGTTACCACTGTGCACATACTGTCAAAACTGAAGAGATCTTTTTTTTTTTCCTGCAGATATAAATGAATTTAAGGACTGACTAAAGCTCATATTGGAGCAGCTGGTAAGCACCAGCCGAGAGACGGAAGCTGATATTATGACAGAACAAACCAACCACTAAAGAGCACTTGCACCGAGGCCGATGCATCCTGATAGATCGTCACTGGTGAGCTAAACAATGTGTTTATTTATCAGAACCGCCTTTTTCACAAATTGTTGAATCTGTTCTCAAAACATATGTTGCTTTTTCTTTATTTCCTGTCTGTATGCCACCTTTCCTGGAACTGCAGTCATCATTAATTACAAAAAGCCCAAATGCATTTTAATGGTCCCTAAATGTTTCCATCAAGTAAAGTTGACCCATTATTACAGATGTGTTTTTTTTTTTAATCAATGCCACACATTTCCTTGCAAATATATAACCTCAATAAAGCATTTTAACTGTAACAATAACACAGAGTATATTATACTTTTTGATTATAGTCTTATTTTTGTCATGCATTCACAATGAGGCAGGTCATTACACTAGGTGCACACATTATGAATTATCAAGATCAATTAGTCAATTTTGGAAGTATCATTGACAAGCAAAACATAACCAACAAAACATTTCCAGCTTGCTACAGACAAAGTTGCAGAGCCCAACAAAAACATTAACGTTGTATATATAAAAAAAAAGAAACTCATTTTTTACAGTACAAAAATTGGCACAGTATTCTTTAATCAGCGTAGCTGTGTCCTTCAGATTGGTTGTTTTCAGAAAGCTCTCGATTCATCAACCTACGAGCAGAAAACCCTGAGAGGAAAGACAAATGGAGACAGAAAAAGACAGACGGACACAGAAAAATAGAGACATAAAAACAGAGATGTTACAGCCATTACTCATCCAGCGAGCAGGAGCTTTGATGACCAAATGTGAAATTCAAGTGACAATCGACACAGGAACCATCATCTGCGGTGCATTATGTTAGTCTCTAATGAGCCATAGTGGCTGTGAAGGGCTCTTGTTTTACTCTCATGGCAAGGGTACACGAAGTGTATATCTTCAATATGCACAAATAATATCAGAAACAAAAACAGAAATGGAACGGAGCCATTCGCTTTTGCTCTAATCCTGTTAGTTTAGAGGCCCTGCGCTCCGCTGGTTTCCGTGGTAACCCGTTCTGTTTTCATGTGAAAGTGGAGGAGATATTCTGTTGCCAACAACTACAAGTTGCACACTGAAACTGACATGCAAATCAGCAGTTAAAAAAAAAAGCTGTGCAAATCAAGACTTAGTGATTATGACAATTTATTGGAAAGAAAGCTGACATTTATGAAACATTTCCTTTAAACCCAATTGATTTAAAAGCAATAAAATTCCTTTTAGTCAATTATTTACATTTCAGAGAACATTTTTGTCATCATTTTCACCAAAAGCGCCCATAACCGAGCACTCAACGCACTTACTCATCAGAGTCTTTTTTGTTCTCCTCAATGTAGGCGATGGACTCTGAGCGAATCCGATTGGTGACCTCATAGGTGCGCAAAGTGACGCCAAAGATGTCCTCATGGTAGCGGTTCTCATCCTGGTAAAAACAGAGCAATGAGAGTAGAGAAACAGAATGTCAAGAGTGAGAAATTGTTGGAAATGTACCGTTTTGAAAGAAAATGATTACATCGCTAAGCAGTGCTGCTAAACCCAACATCATTTCTTTATCACAAGCTTAAATTTTCAGCAACAGTTGTGGTAATGTGCATCTCTGCATGGTGTTTACTTCCACTACAAATTAAAGAAAAAAAAAAGAAGAACGACGGTAAGATTCAGGAAGTTCTTTGTCCCTCAAACCATCAGACTGTTCAACTTCTCCTGGTACAGTAAAAATAGAGCCTTGTAAATCTACAGCACCCCAGACACTTATTTAGGGTATGTGTATGTATGTATATATACATGTACATATGCATATGTATATACATGTATATGTGTATGCTTAGATGTGTTTGTATAGGTTGTTCATGAATATAGTACTTCCTACCACCTTGTGCATATGATCTTTTTTTTTCTTCAAATTTGTGTATTCTGCTTTGTTTTAGATTATGTCATGTGTTTTGTTTTCTGTATAATTAGAAAATGCTACCCGATGCCTCGAATTTCCCCCCCTGGATTGATTAAGTAGGTATCTATCTATCATATCTATCCACAGTGTCTGTCTGTCTGTCTTTTCTGTCTAGTCTATCTAATCTATCTATCCTGCCTGGCCAAAAAAAAGTTGCCACCTGGATTTAACTAAGCAAATAGGTACGAGCCTCCTATTGGATAATTACTGCATGGGTGATGATCTTTCAGCTGGCAACAAGTTATTTAACCTCAACTGGTGCAATGAGTTGCTTCTCATTTCTTAAACAACCATGTTGAAAGACACATCATGTGGAAAAGATCTTGGTCTGTTTGAGAAGGGTCAAATCATTGGCAGTCATCAAGCAGAGAAAACATTTAAGGAGATTGCAGAAACTATTAAAATTGGGTTAAAAACTGTCCAACACATTATTAAAAACTGGACGGATAGTGGGGACCCATCGTCTTCGAGGAAGAAATGTGGCCGGAAAAATATCCTGAATGATCGTGATCGGCGATCACTTAAATATTTGGTGAAATGAAATGGAAGAAAAACAACAGTAGCACTCAGGACTATGTTTAATAGTGAAGTAAGAGCATTTCCACACGCACAATGTGAAGTGAACTCAAGGAATTGGGACTGAACAGCTGTGTAGCCTTAAGAAAACCACTAAACAGTGAGGCTAACTGGAGAAAAAAAAAGGCTTCAGTTTGATAGGGAGCATAAAGATCGGACTCTGGAGCAATGGAAGAAAGTCATGTGGTCTGATGAGTCCAGATTTACTCTGTTCCAGAGTGATGGGCGCATCAGGATAAGAAGAAAGGCAGGTGAAGTGATGCAACCATCATGACTAGAGCCTAGTCATCAATGCAAGATCTTGGTGAAAAATTAATGCAACACTGGATGGAAATAGATCTTGTGACATTGCAGAAGCTTATCGAAATTTTCTTGTCAAAGAAAGCTTATCGAAACTTATCAAATTTAGTTGAAATCAGGTAAATCCCACTAAACCTCGAGGACTCATTTACAAGAGAGACCTGTCTAAATAAAAGTTGAATGAATGAATGAAACAATGCCACAGTGAATGCATGCCACAATCAAAGCTAAAGGCGAGCCAACAAAATATTAGTGTGACCTTCTTTTTTTTTTTTTTGTGGCGATTTTTATTTTGGCCAGGCAGTGTATCCATTTTCTTTTTGATATGCTGACAAAAAATAACTTTTAAAAAATTGATAAAAGGCACCTTTAACTAAGAATTTTCTATTATTCTAACAAGTCTGCAGTGAGACAACAACAATCTCAAAAGGCACACACTGATGATTGTAATGCTGCAGGAAAAAAAAAAAGTCTTATGTCTTACTCGAAGTTTGCTGACGTAGAAGCCAGCGTCTTCTAGAGTCATGTTGCCCTGCTGCTTGATGATTTGCTGAACAGTCTTGAGGACATCTCCAGCCATCGTAACGTCCCCACACACATAGATGTGTCCGCCATCCTTCCTCAGGCACTGGTACACCTTCTCTGCCAGATGTTCACGCATAATATCTTGAACGTATTTCTAACACATAAGAGGAGTGAAGAAATGGTCAGTGTGCATGAAGACACTAAATGTGCCAAAAACAAGTAACAATGTTCATGCATATAGCATAGGATAAAATGCATTAATAATATTTAAACTAAAAAGCAAAACATTAGTGTCAAGAATATAATTTAAAACGATATTTTATTGGTCTCATTCAGTCAGCCAAGGTAAGTTGTGACTGTTTAGTTCACAGATATAAGTAGCTTAGTGTTTGTACCTTTGGTTTGCCAGGTTCTCGAGAAAAAGCCGCATAGACCTCTGAAAACACATCTTTGTTCCTGGCCTGGATAGTCTCTTCCTTGTATATGTGGTCCATCTCTGACTGTCGACAACCGAACACCAGGATCATGGGGCACGACTTGATCCCTTAAACAAGACAAGTGGAGTTACTTTTCTTCTTAGAGAAAAGATGCAGTCTGCAGGTTTGTGCATCACAAAGGAATAGTTCTATTTGAACTATGATACGCACTTATTTTGAAGACTAAATCTATCAGCCTGTCCTGGATATGTTTGAGAACTTTTACTAGTGGTTCATGTGCTGGGCTTCTCTATGAGTTAGTCACAAATATGTTTGCGTGAAATGAAACTAAAAGTATGCTGAACCATTTTGTTCAAAGTCGAACAGTCTCTGTTGCCAGAAGCTTCTGAATGGAGCAATGCCGGTTCCCGGGCCCACCAAGATACACGGTGCTTTGTTGTCTTTTGGAAGTTGGAAAGATGGTGCACTAAAAGAAAAAAAAAATACTGTTAGTGAAATTATTTTAATCATTTACTGAAAAACAAACACTACCTCTTTGATTGCATTAACTCTAGTGCCTATGTGTTATGTGGTTGTGAAAAAGTTGGACAAAAAAAACAATACTTTGGTCAGGTGCTGCCATTTTGTAGTTTTCTCTCAGTAAGCCTCCACTTTATTCCCACTTATAACGACCACATTTCCCAGAAGGCAACAGGGCCCCACTCAGAAGCCCCATTTCCTTCTGCTGAAAAAAACGAAGATAAAGTTTTGATCTTATCGGTGCCCAGCGGATGCAGAGAAGCCGCACTGAACCCACTGAACCGAACCAGAACTGGACCCGAATCAGACCTCCAGACCCATCAGTGAATTTTGAGAGCTGGTAGTTGGCCCACGAGGACTTCTAAGCACGGACGTACTGAAGGTCCAAAGCTGTTTTCGTAGCCCATCGGGACATTTTTTGTCTAGACTTGAACTCAATTCAAACACCTACGGTCCCACGCCGGTCAACAGAATATCTGCCCTCCCCACAAATACGCTTCGGTGCTCAAGAGCTGCAACTGGACCAGAACCGGCTCTGCAGACTCAGCGGTGAACCCAAGAGCTGCGGGGATGCACTTGTAAGTAAAATTTATTAGCTACATATAAGTTTGTTGTTAAAATTAGTATGTTTAAGAGTTTAGAGGACTGATTGTGGGCTTTTATGCTGCAGAGTATTCTGCAGAAACAAACCGAGTCGACCAGAACCAAGAGCTGTTGCTGTGTTCTGCAGAGCTGCTGAGTAAAATTTTGTAGCTACATATATATGTATGTTGTTAAAATGACATAGGTTTGAGTTTAGAACATTGCAAGAGTGTGGGAAGGGTTTATAAAGCCTTAAAATATATACAGTATTAACACTCATAAATAGTGTACCTTCTTTACTTCGTGGTTTTTCAATTATCGCAGGGGTGGGGTGGCTGGAACCTAACACCCACAATAAATAAGGGCCTACTGTATATATATATATATATATATATATATATATATATATATATATATAT